GAGGTTGAGGGGAGGATATAGGCGAGGGGTGTGCCTCCAATGGAGGCAGCAAGAAGTGGGCAGGTACTGGAAGTTGAAAGACACTCTCGAGACGGGAGGCAGGAGTGGGGGCAGAGGTGGCGGACAAGGGGTGGGGCAAGGGGTTGGGGCAGGGGTGGGACAGGAGCAGCTATTACCGTGCCTACAGAGTGAGGAAGTGTTATACTCTTAGTGCTAAACTGTGATGATGGTGACGCGGACGACAACGATGACAATTACGATGACGACGACGATGGTGACGGTGATCATGATCATGAAGATGAAGAAAAAGGAGAAGAAGAAGACGAAGAAGAAGACGATGACGACGACGACGACGACGACGAGAGCATGCAGGGGTGCATGCCGCCCACGACGAGAATAGAATACCTGCTGCAGGTGTTACGACGGTGCACGCTTGCTTTACGCTTCGCAGCGCCAGCTAGCGGCGATCAGCTCAACTATGCGAACGTGGAAGCGTGTCTGTACGTGGCAGGCCGAGACGAAGTCAACCATTCCATCAGATGTAGCCTTAGTTATGTCGACTGCCAACTCTACACTTGTTTGTTCGCTTGCGTTGGGGTACGAGAAAGGGCGTTAGGGTTCCGAGAGATAGGGCGAGGGGATTTCGAGAGTTCTGACTGCATTTCTTCTGTCTTTCCTTCTGTCTCTCTCTCTCTCTCTCTCTTCTTTTCCTTCTTCCTTCTTCTTCTATTCTCTTCTCTTCTTTTCTCTCTCCCTCTCCCTCTCTCGGTCTCTCTTTCTCTCTCTCTCTCTTTCACACTCTTCTCTTTGCCTCTCTCTCTCTCTCTCTCTTTCTCTCCCCCCCCCTCTCTCTCTCTCTCTCTCGGTATCCTCCTCTTCTAGGAGGCCTGGTGGGTGGCGACGTTCACGGCATATATTTGTGATACGGCAGCGAGCAGGCGCGGCGACTGCGCATGCGTGATATGTAGCCGGTGCTAGTGAGCAGACGTTGCTTCGCTTGTCTAGAGGATTTAGTTTTTCGTTAACAACTCATAATCTAGCGACTTGCGCGCCTCCTGACGGCAGCAGTGGAGTCGGGAGTTCGGTCGGGCCGGTGGACGCGGCTCGTATTTCGTCGGCTCGCTGGAATTTGCATTTCCGTGTCGCAGGAACTTGCAAATTTTGCCGGCGCGTGGCATTAGCGACACAATTTCTTTACGCCGCGCACAAAACGCGGTCGTCTGAGCCAAGGGCGTCAACAGCTTCTCAAAAGTAGGGGGGACATTTCGAGGACATATAGCAATAACTTTGTAATAAGGAAAATTCTTACCTCAGAACTTGCCAAAAATCTGCCTACGACGGTCTTCTGATCTGATAAACTCCTCGGCAATTCTCTGTGGGCTCGATGCTGCTAGACGATTATCCTGATCCGTGATCCTTGATCGAAGCTTCTTAGAGCTGTATTGGCCTCTGGTAGGTGGCGCTGGTTTAAATGTGGGCTCACCCAGTCTCCACCAATTCCACTCACCCAAGAGCCTAGTGATCTCAGTTCTATGCTCCTTTAGACTATCCTCACCTCAGGGTCCGCACACAATAAAATATCCTCACTTAGAGTTCCTACCCCACACTCTTTGAAAATCTTATGCTGAATGAGTCCACGTTCCTTCTCAAACTTAGCACATTCTAGTATGTAGTGAGGTACAGTCTCGGCGACACGACACACGTCACATAGTGGATCATCACTATAACTTCTATCTGATTGTAGGTATTCTCGGAGTCCAATGTAGCCTGATCTTAAGCATGCAATCTTGGTATATAACAGTCTGTTTGGATGATCAGTGGTGGTGTAATGAGTGACCGATGGTATGAGGGTATGAACCCTTATAACCGTCTTCCCGTCTCGGCAGCATCCCATTGACGTTGCCATTTAGCACTAACCGATTTTCTCGCTGCACTCTTGATGTCCCCTTGGGATGTTATACTATAATACTTATACAGTCCAGCTTATCCAGATTTTTGGCCTCACTACTGGCTTCCTTCGCTAGTCTATCGGCTATCTCGTTTCCTGCTATATTAGCATGGTCTGGTGTCCAGTCGATGTTGACCGAGATGCCTTTTTCCTCCAGCTGACTAATAAATAAGGCTCTTGGTGGTAGCTAATGGTGTTATGTATAATGTAGCTGGTTAGCCTTCCAGCCCAGTGTGAGTAGTCTAACTGAGGACTGGGTATCGGAGAGGATCTGGATCTTCTCTATACTGGCTAATCTCACATCGCTGAGGATATATTCCAGCGTCATATTAAAGGATGGCAACTAACTCTCCCAGTAGAATGGATCCGTGGGCAGATACTGGCTTCCTAAGTTCCTTCGCTGATCCGAGTCGGGTAGTACAAATAGTAAATACAATGCAGCTGCATGCTCCACATATGATATGGACCCTGGTTGTATTGGGCTGGCAGCTACCGTCGGTAAATGCTATAGCTGTGGCCGGTGGGCAGCTCTGGACATGTCCCCCTGTCCCCCGCCTGTTGACACCCTTGACTCTGAGCCATTGATATCCTAATATATGTACACATAAACAGGATATCTACGGTCTGACCACGCTCCCGCAGACGGAAATTCTTCACGACGTTCACGCCATCTGTCGTCGAGAAAAGAGTTCAAGCAGACTTTATATATACATATATATATATTATATATTATACGTCATGTATATTATCAGGGGTGAATAATGACAAATTTTGTCACTGTTTACCCCTGATGTTATGTTTCGGCGTGTTTTCGAGTCAAAACCAGTGCAAGCTGTATATTATTCATGCCCTCGTATAAACGATGGATTATATTTTGTAACGCCTGTAGACCAACTAGTAATTACTCGCGCTCTGAGATTACATTGCATTACATCATCAACCCAGATTCGCTATAGCTAGTTTTATTTGATATGTCGTATACGAATGAGTACCAATCGCATTTTAATAGCATTATATAGGATCATGACATGTTACGGGCACAATTATATATATATACTGTTGCGTGATGAAGAACGCACTGTTTCGGTTCGCGTTTCGGCTTCGTTCTTAGTGTACGCCATTGATGCATTAATCGTATGTGCGACTATAAAGCCCTATATATGGAAATATTAAACGCTATATTGCTATTTGAATCACCGTGTGTATAGTCAGTGTTTCATATTGACATCGTTTTCCACACGTACACGGATGCACGCTTTAGCCAATCTAAACCGATGACACATTCAACACGTATAAAAAAGACACGAGAGAATGAATATACAAATCTATATCTATCTATCTATCTATCTATCTATCTATCTATCTATCTATCTATCTATCTATTTGTCTGTCTGTATATCTATCTATCTATCTATCTATGTGGTTATGCACTTCTACGGTGACCGGGAGTCCGAGGTCCTGGGGCAAGTTATTCTGATGGCTGTACGTAGCCGAATGAAATCAGCATTCAGCAGTGGAGTGACTGGCGCTACAGAAAGCTGCGGCAACATGATGATCCTTCGCGCGAGGATTCTACTTGCACGATGTTGTGTAATATGAAGAAGAAACCTGTAGAGAGCTTTCCAGGAGTGGGTTCTTTATCAGAAGGTAGATCTTTGGAGCCAGCCAAGTTAGTCTGCAGGGGCGGATCCAAGGTTTGAAGAGAGGGTAGAGCGCTGGTAGCAACGTGGCTGTGAAGCCTGCGTGGCTTCTACCTATAGATATGATGGTTAATTAAATACCCATTCTTCTAACCCTTTTTTCATAGTGAATTTAGCATCTATTCTACCTTCTTTAGTATTCAAAGACTAAATGTTATTTGGAGGCGTTTACACATATTTATTTATTAAATAGACGGCAATACAATGCCGAATTATATAAGCCCGGACGGTGGTGGGTATACACACTGTCTGGTTCTCAGAAGCTCACTTTTTCTAACGCAAGATGCCGCGAGCAGCAACCCCGCTAATAAACGAATAAAAATAGTGTTTCTCTGTTTTCTAACAAGTGTTTTGAGTAGCAGCAGTAGTCTTTATATCGTATCGTTCGCCAAAACCTTTTTCTCCGTACTTTAAATAGAACAAGTCTAGCTAAGGATGTAAACAACGTTCCGCAGTACTACAGAGGGTAAATAATAATATTGCGGTGCGGCCCTCTGGCGGCACGCACGCCAACTATTTCATCGTACTGGTACTACCGCGAAAATAGCCATTTTCGCTATATTGATACAACTTCTCTTATCATTATGTAAACAAAGGTATCGAAGATGAAGGCTCCGAAAACCTTTATCTTGCGATTAATTCCAGATAGGCTACTCGGCGCACCACTCTACTCCACGTATGCGTGAGTAAATGATGCCAGTGCTCGAGATATGTGTCTCTCCAACCGAAAAGAAAATGCAAACAGAAACCATGACTCTCGCTTCTGAGGTAGAAACCACTGCTCTCTCGATGGGCCCTCAACAACAACAGCAGCAGCAGCACACATACGTCTCACAGGTAAGTTTTACGTAGCTGCCTTGAAGCCTCGGTACTTTATCCTAACTGAAAATGTGTTAAGTTACTTGAAATATTTGGATGGCTATAGAGTTAGGTATAGCCTATAGCCTAGAGTCAGTGACAGCGTTACTGTTACTGTTAGGTATTCTGGGTTACGTATGTGGTATAGGGTTAGCTATAGCATATAAAGGGTTGGGTATAGCTCATATAGGTTTGGGTATAGGGTTAAGTATAGCGTCTGGTATGGCTTATATATTGTTGGGTATACGATCAGGTATAGTTTATAAAGATGGGTTAGCTATTGCTTATGTAGAGTTAAGAGGTTATGTATATGGTTTGATGATCGATGCAGCCCCGCCAGACGCCCTCGTATCCACACGACACGTCACCCCGTCCGATCCCCACGCAGCAAACCAATTTAACAAAACTCTCTGCCGCTCTCTCCCATGCAGGATGCTCCACCGCCGCCGACCGAGGCCGCCTCCGACGCCAGCGGCCCCTGCGCGCCGCCGGACGATGCCGGCGACCGCAAGGTGGCGCCGCCGGCGCACGAGAAGAGCGACTCGATCGCTTCAATCTCTACGGGCGGGGTCGACATCTGCCGCATCTGCCACTGCGAGGGCGACGCGGAACTGCCGCTGATCGGGCCGTGCCACTGCGCGGGTACGCTGCGCTGGGTGCACCAGGCCTGCCTGCAGCAGTGGATCAAGAGCTCGGACACGCGCAGCTGCGAGCTGTGCAAGTTCAACTTCGTCATGCAGACGAAGATCAAGCCGTTCAAGACGGTGGGTTCGGGTTGCTGGTTCGGGCGGTGGTGTTGTGTGTTCGTCTGTCGGGGTTCTGTCTGTGTCGCTCTGTTTGTCTGCATCCTGGGTCGCTCCGTCCGTCGGCGCCCCCGCGTCGATCTGTCTGTTGCTGATCGTCCTTGTCACTCTGTCTGTGACCTCACCGTGTCACTTTGTCTGTGACCTCACCGTGTCACTCTGTCTGTGACCTCACCGTGTCACTCTGTCTGTTACTAAGTGTCCTTGTCACTCTGTCTGTTACCTCACCGTGTTGCTCTGTCTGTCACTGAGTGTCCTTGTCACTCTGTCTGTGACCTCACCGCGTCGATCTGTCTGTCACTGAGTGTCCTTGTCACTCTGTCTGTGACCTCACCGTGTTGCTCTGTCTGTCACTGAGTGTTCTTGTCACTCTGTCTGTTACCTCTCCGCGTCGCTCTGTCTGTTACTGAGTGTCCTTGTCACTCTGTCTGTTACCTCACCGTGTTGCTCTGTCTGTCACAGAGTGTCCTTGTCACTCTGTCTGTGACCTCACCGTGTTGCTCTGTCTGTCACTGAGTGTCCTTGTCACTCTGTCTGTGACCTCACCGTGTCACTCTGTCTGTTACTGAGTGTCCTTGTCACTCTGTCTGTGACCTCGCCGTGTTGAGCTCTGTCTGTTACTGAGTGTCCTTGTCGCTCTGTCTGTTACCTCTCCGCGTCGCTCTCTGTCCATCGCTGACCATCTTCGTAGCCGCGTCTGTCTCCCCCTTCCCATGAGTGTCTCTGTCTGTCGCCTTCCTACATCGAAGGAAGTGCAAGGACTCTGTTCAACTCCTATTGGTTGGTAAGCGTTCCACGTTGTGTTTCTCATATGTTCGTTATCTTTGGTTATTACTATTAGGGTTACTCCTGCTCAGTAATTCTAGATATATGGTTCAATTTAGTGTTGTTCATTCATAAATGCAGTTAATTCTTCGTCTTTATCTGTATCTTTATCTTTACCTAATCGCTAACTCTCTACTCATCGTGCGGCCTGGTCATTTAGTTTTGTGTTAACGCCATCCTACACACAAGCGTTCAGCGCCGTTCACTTGTTTACTTGCGCATTCCGACATGTTGCGTGCAGTGTGAAACAATGCATTTTTGGAAAGCCCACCACGAGTTGTGTACAAATATATATCAGGGTACCTAGAACATCTGGAAAGTCCTAAACAATTTTCCTGACAAAGTTTTCCAGGTCTGGAAAATTCCTAGAGGGTACATGTTTATCAGGTCGATGTTACACCAGTGATAGTAACATGTTTAATACTGACGATATAACTGTTTAGTGTTTATGTTGATTATACAGCACGGTTTATTTTGAGAGGTTGTAAAATCCGTTTTAAGCTTCAATTCTTGGGGGGCCTAAAAATGGACGTGGAAGAGCCATGGAAAACCGCTTTGCCTGGAGTTTACGAACCCTGATATATACATATATGTATGTGTGTGTATATATTATATTTTGCATGTTGCAAAGTTGCGAGCTTGCAAAATGTGCCTACTGCATGGTGAGTTCGTACACCTGCATTCTCGCGACAGTAGACTGTAGTCTACAGTGAGGGCATAAGTGCACAAGGTTGTTTACGCCCGCCACGCCCTAACACCCCCTCACCTCACCCACCACTAGCCCACCTCAGAAAGCAGTGACAGCTCATGAATGGGATGCGCCTATGAGCTGAGAACCCACGCGGACGCGTGGAAACACTTCTCATGTTGATGCCATCTGGTTCATACGGTGTGCAAATAGACTGTGTAAATGCAACCTTGTCCCATCACATCTGTGTCAAACATGCTTTTGAGTCGGGGCTGGCCCCGGTGGGCCCAAGCGCTCAGTAACAGCTCCCGAGCCCAGGCCAACCTAACCGATAGCTTCTAGGTTGGTTGGTATTAGCAGGGGTGACTAATGACAAATAAATCATGCAACCAGATATATTGTAGCTAACACAGCCTGAGGAGTTCTAGAGGGTTGTGACGTAGTGCTTGCGCACACTCTAAGATCTAGCAGTGTTTTCACGTTCGGATGTTGTTTTTGTTCAGGGGAAAGGGTTGAATTCCTTGTGTGTAGATGTACATTACAGTGTAAATAATGGCGCACACTGTAATACAGCTGGCGTTTTTGACCGTATAACAAGTAAACGTCTGCTATTCGTTTTATAATATCGTACATTTTATCAGGAGTCTATCAATATAGGAGTCTATTGATAGACTCTTGATTTTATTAACGTGAATCGTATACTAAATAGCTAATAATCTTAAATTAGTGCAGTACTTACAATTATTGTACATTCACTCGTGAACTTTGTGAAAGTTCCTGCACTTCCACATTCTTCCTCGTGCACCTGTAAGGCTGTAACCGTCATCTCTAATATTGTCATCTCTCCTCCTCCTTGCAATGGGAGAAACTGGACATGTTCTTGTACATTCTCTCATATACACATACATCCACACTGTAAACCTCTCTCTCTCTCTCTAACGTGCATCAGATTCTGTGATTCCCTCTCTCTAACCACGTTGTTACCTCCGCCCAACGGAGTTGGAGGAGGTTATGTTTTCGCTTTCGTGTGTTAGTGTGTTAGTGTGTTAGTGTGTTAGTGTGTTCGCGCGATCGATATTAGCGCGTCAGCCAGCGAGCCACCCAGCGCAGCGAGCCAGCGAGCGTGTACATGTCAGCGAGCAGCAGCAACGAGCGGGTGTGTGGTGAGCAAGCCAGCAAGCCAGCGTGTACATGTCAGTACGCTGGCGTATATTCGTGTGCTCGTGAGTCATATGGCGTATGGTGTATGTCGCTGGCGGAGGTATGCACTCTCCGTGAGTGCACTCTGTCTAGTTTCTCTTTGCAGTAGGGGCAGCTAGACATGTGTATGTACATTCACCCACATACATCTATACTGTAAACTCTCTATTTACATTGTATCTCTGTCACTCTCTCTCCGCCTTCGCTCTCTCTCTCTCTTTCTCTCTCTCTCTTGCTTGCTGGCACTCAATTTCTTCCTTTCTCTCCCCGCCTCTCTCTCCCCCTCTCTTTCTCTCTCTCTCTCTTTCTACCCCTCCCCCCCCCCCCCCCCCCCCCCCCTCTCTCTCTCTCTCTCTCTCTCTCTCTCTCTCTCTCTCTTGCTTGCTGGCACTCAATTTCTTCCTTTCTCTCCCCGCCTCTCTCTCCCCCTCTCTTTCTCTCTCTCTCTCTTTCTACCCCTCCCCCC